AAGGCAACATCTCCTACTCTACTTTTACCAAAGATACTTATTCAGTCGATATGGGGGTGTGCGTTAGACTTACCTCCGCGTGATGCACCCTGGGCAACGTATACTCATACGGTAAAAGTCTATCAATGGGCAGTTGACTTCTGACTTCAAACTGCCATGATCCCTCTGTATGCCATATTCGACTACAGTATTCACCTCACCTTTTTTCTACCTTCGTCTTTGAAGCACTCTTCTGTTCCCCCCCCCCTCTCGACTTTTTTTCCACTTTGATGTTCCTTCCCCTCTGTGAAGCCTGTAGTCAACTAAAGGGCTAATGATAACCATCAAGACGCCTGCCATTTGATATAAATAAATATTCAGTAGATATTCCCACACAATATTTTGTGTCAATATAACTCAGCCGTAGAGTCTACTTATTGACAACGAATGAGAGCAAACTTTGCTTACTTTAGCCAAGTCAATCAAAGTGTTGGCGTTATCTTGAAGTTTCCTCTGCTCCAGTTTCACCTGCCGGAGTCTAAAAAACGCATATGAAAATAAGGTGGAGAAAGACATTTTGCGTCTCTTAAAAATGTAAAATATCGAGAAATTATCATTCAATATAACAAATTAAAATAATTTAACAGGATTATAGATGACAGAGATTACTGATATTAATTTATCGCTTGAAATAAGGCAAGGTGTTTGCTTTTTTTATTTCAATAGTAAAGTTTAGTAAATTAGCTTTGTAAGGAAACCATTTAGGGCTTATTTAGTGAAGAAAAATGATACCAATTATTGTTAAGGTGATTTTGTTGAATTCCACTCACTTTTGTTTGAAATGTTTTCGACAGAATATTCAACAGAGAGATAATTATTTTTTTGATAAAAGCCCCATACTCTACGTTTGTTGGCAAAATTCGAATTTCTCTACTTTTCTCGGTTTCGCTTAATAACTCCCAAGGTCGATTTTGACCATCAAATCGATGTTTTTTTTCATATGATTTCATTCGATAATAAACATGTAAGAACATTTGGGAAAATATTATTTGCAAATTGTATCTGATTACTAACTAGTAAATATCAGAAATTACAATTAGTATAAAAGTAAAATATCAACGTTACTGTTTTATTTTTTGGGTTCTGCATCACTCTTGCAGTTTTCTTTTCGAAGGAGTTTGCTGGTAACATTACGCACATTTTCAAAATCAAATTCCAACTAGTAACCATTTTCTACCATCAATTTCAATTCAAACCGCACTTTTATTTGTTCAGTTATTTTTTGAATTAATTCCAACGTTGCCCTAAGTTGGCTTTATTTATGTATTTTGCTAGAAAAGTATTTTTAAATTATGTGTGGAGAGCACAACTTTATCGACCTTGAACAAAGTAGCCTCATTCGCGCTCAGATAGGTTTGAAAGTGCAGTCGTAAGCGGGGAGTGTACCCAGCCAACCGCCAATCAATAGTCCTTCCTTGGTTTATCAAACCCGCCAAATTAATACAATGATTAAGCTCCCTGGTTATACACACTCCCACTCATACTTCCAAAATAAGCATGTTCCATGTGATGCGTCTGTTGCCCCTGGAAATCTTATTAAACGTAGGAGAATCTGCCCTAGAGATTTCTGAGTACAATTAAGGCTTTTTAGTGTCGCAATTCGTTACAAATGTGATATTTTTTAGGAAATGACATTATTTTTCCATTTGAACTCTGCTCGATAAATCAAAAAGATTTACCATTGTGAATGCAACTACGTGCAAAAGAAGTTTACGCATGAAATTTAATCGAACGATTTAATATTCAAAGATTGTCATTTGACAGTATTATTTAATAAAACTCTGTGCTTCTGTTCATTATTCAAGTTTCGAACATGGCATGGTAGGTACACATATGATTTCGATCAAAAGAAGGATGATTGTTAGGGGTTTAGATCATAATTTTGACTATGATTGAAGATCAATTCATTGCTCAAACTAGGATCTCATTCAATAAATGCTGTTCTTTTTGACAAAATTGATTTTATGCTATTTTTATTGCCTGTTGTTGTTACTTTATTACGACAGGTGCTCAAAGGGATATTGTGGTTGGGGCCGTCGGCTCGGATAAGTATACCTTGAATATCTACTTGGCTCAGACACCCTAATCGGATTATATTAGTCTAGTTATGTTGTTCACTCGAAGGAGAACTAAGATTTCCCTTTTTAATAAACATGGGCATAAGAAAGCGTGCTATGCATTCGCAATAAAATTTCAGTGTTTCACATAGACACACACACATGTATATAATCAAACCAATTCAATTTATTATCTTTTTCCTCATTTTTTTTCCCGATTTCAAAAAGCATTTTTTTTTAAAAGTCGTCTGACGAATATTTAATGAGATTTGCCGTGTTTTAGAAAGCCACCAAGCTTAATAAACGTGAGCACATTCATAATTTGAAAATCAATAATTGGGTCTTAGATACCTGGCAATGGGTAGATATGATCGCAAAGTTTCTACAGGTAACAAATTGCGATCTGAAGTTACCTAAACTTTTAGATCACTATATTTTACCTAAAAAAATACTTTAGACAATTTGGAAAAATTAAAATCAAGAATAGAGGCGAAAATTGGCATAATGAGGTAATTGCTGATTAATCACACAAGTGGTTATTACAACACTTACCCATGGATGGCACATAAGAACTTTCTTTGGTGTTTTCTTATTGTGGACACGTTGAGCTTCTTGACCAATTTGGTGTACTTGTAGATGAGCCACGTCTCACGAAGGACATTCGCTGCGTAGTGCTTCATCTAGGAGTCAAAATAGAGAATTTCAACTTTATAATTTTTAAATGAAAATAACGTGCTCAGTTCCTATGCCGGCAGTAAATTTTTTTATTTATAAAATTTTATTGCGGTTCCAAGTGACTTTTGTGCGCCGGTTCCACTCCCACGATTTTTTTTGCTTGCTAAAGAACTTTTGTAGATCAATATGCTTTCATTAAGGTGGTGGCTTGATCGTACTTTAATCTTGATTATTTAATAGCAAAATTGGATTTGGCGTCATGAGTTTCCAAAATTTAACCTACCAATAAAATATCTTGCTGGGAACGTGACCCTAATGAGCATCTAATTAGATGAATCAGGGAGAAAGAGAACAAATAAATAGAATGGCGAATCAGGAAGATTTAAAGGAGATAAAAGTGAGGGGAAATAAAGACTACTTCCATCTCATGCAAAGAAAATATACAGTGTCCTAGATTTTTATTGGTCCTCTGTATGCAAAGTTTGCCTGAGTGCTAATAGGGCTTTTCTATTGGTCGGTGTGGATTTCCGGAGCCTTAACTTCATTTTCTATTTTTCAGCGGCAACGTGCATGATAACTTTCAATCTGTTCGCTTATCTGATAAGTCATGAGGCATTAATAGACTTGTTTTTTTAAAAGATTTTACTACTTGTCATTAAGCATCATAACGGCAAATTCGCTCAAGAAATAAAAAAATAATATCATGAGTAAATTCAAAAATTGAGAAAAGAAACTAAAAATAAAATTTTTCAAGTATTTCTCATAATAAATATTCTCGAGTTTATTGTTAATGAAAGACAGTAAGAAAACTCGAATTAATTCGATAAAATGGTGGTTGAAGTCAAGGTAATTAACACAGTGGTTAGCGAAAATACTATCTATCATATCAGATCAGAGTTTTTGCTGATAATTTTGTTCTAAACTTTCACAATTTCCAGAAAATTTCACTTATTTTTGTAAGTAAAATAATTAAAATGATAGGTGGCATGCTAGAAACCTCAATATGTGTAATCAACTGTGCTTTATAAACGCTATTAATTGATATTTATTCATATATATATATATATATATATATCTGATGATCTTATTATCCAATCATTTAAAAGCACGAAAATTCTAAAAAATGTACTTTGACAACTAGAGGACCCGAATCATCGACTTAACTAATCTGAGGGGCCCATATTATAACGGTGAAACGACTCTCCAACCAAGCCTGTATTTCTTCGCACGGAATTATTGCAATTCGGATTTAATGAATTTGTTATTTGCAATTTAATTTTATAATGGAATTAATGCCCTAAAGTCGACAAAGACTGATTTATTGGTCACGATTATAACTCCTTACCCACTTCTTAACACCACAATTATTTTGTTAGCTACGCCCATGGAAATCAAAGTCACTCCCCTCTTTAAGCATTTAAATTTTTCAAACACAAAAAATAACTCTTCAAATGTGACCAAAGAGACAGAATCCAAGAAAAAACTTTCAACAATACATGAGTAACCGTTTTTAAAAGTAGAATGGAGATTCGTTTTTCTCACAAGACTGAATCAGGTATTTGCAAATATTGAAGACTGAAAAAGTGTAAGTTTAACAATACTCCACGCGCGTGTAAAGGAAAATTTTGAATTGGACCTTAAATATACTCCGCACTGTAGTGATTGGCTTACCTTTTTGGTGAGAGTGTTCTCCATCATGAAGTGGATCACATGTTTTTCCGCCTTTGAAAGTTCCAACCTTCGGGCAAAAACGGCCACAACCAGTGCTGTACAAAGTGATCCCTATAAAATACACAATTTTACATTTAGAAAAATGTTTATTTTTATTTATTTGTAAGAAATTTGACCAGAAGTAGTTTAAACTTGGGGTATAACACTACTTATAAACTATAAAATAGTGAAAATTTATCCGAAAATGATGAGCATTTTTGTTTTCTCTTACTTATTTTCAAAACGAAAAGATGTTTTTTATACTTAAAGGTAAAAAGGAGATGAAGGAAAAATATAAATAATCCTAAAATAATTTTAAATTTGGAGAGTATCGTACATTTACGCTGTGAAAATCATTCAAGCGGAAGTTTTTTTTACAATTAAAATGATAATTCATTTCACTTATAATGCATGTTAATTTTGTGTAAAATATCAGTGTTTCTACCTATGATATAACATTTAGTACTCACAAGCATTTTAATTTCAGAATTTCTATGGTTCGTTTGAAAAACCTTATGACACCAATTTTAATGAGAGCAGTAAATTCAAATAGCTTCTCAGATGAGGAATTCGAATTCCGCTTATCTCCAGATTAGCCAGAATTAATAAGAGCGTCGAATCCATGACCTACAACTTTGCAGAATGATTCACCAATCTGTGCGCCAATAGGATTTGAGTTCTTTTTCGAAAAAATAAGAAAAGGCCAGTAGCATTTTAGCAAGGTGAGTTGACTAGTTGGGGGGGGGGGGAAGAGTTGGTAATGAATAAAACTTCAATCATTTAACAAAAAATCGCATGTGATGCTAGGAACTGCATAAACACGGACTTACCAAAACACCCGTGACTAAGGAAATGCCCCGACCACAGTAGGTATTTGCGACAACATCACCATAGCCGATGCTCAAAAATGTGACAGCGACCAGCCACAGCGAGTTGAGGAGATTTTCAAAACCAGGATCATGAACACTAGAAAATGAACATGAAGCATGCTAATAACTTCAAACTGAATGCAACTCACTCAATTCACCTTCCAAAGCAAGCTTGATAGAGTGCATTAGGAACAATAA